CTTTTATATAGCCAACGTGAAGTATAGCTAACGAACATATATTCCCGGCAAAGTCAAATTTGTAATTACTTTCTAATGGTAAGAAAATCGTTATACAAAAAATTAAATTTTGTGCAAGTTTTTTTGAATAGGACTGTATGTTTTTCAAGATAACAACACCTTACACCATATTGAGGTATGAATGTGAATGAATGATATAGAATATTCACACTTACATTCAACCGCTCAATAAATTTCCTTACATTAACTTCAATATTTTAAGAACCGAAATAAAACAGTTTTTTTTCTGATAATTGTGATAGCTATGACTCGTTGCGTCAGTCAAAATTGTTGGATTTTTCTTATCAGTCCGAAACAGTAAAATAATGTGCAAATAAAAGCTTCTAAAGAGGGGATCGAGCGAGAAGCCATAAGATTATCGCTTATCTTTCTGAAGAACGGATAAAATTACAACGAATAACTTCAGTCACATATTCTGCTTCCTACTAAAAAGTAAGAAAGAATTTTGCTTTCGAAGCAAAATAATACATCGATTTTTTTCCAAGTAAGATGCTCTTTCAGACCATAGTGATAGGCGCTCAGTTAAACCATCGGTATCAATTACAAATTTTGAAAATATACCCACACAACTCTGATACCGAAAGCAGATGTTTACTTAAGTATCCAATGATGCAGTTTTTACAAGTACATGCGTTCGTGTTGAGATGAGGGTAGAAAGACCTGGTCTCTATTCGCTCAGGAAATGGATGTCGAACGAGAAAACTCGCAAATACAATAATATCCAAAGTCGCCTTAAATCCTTCGACTTTAGTTTATGAAGGCGAGTGGATGTGGGTGTTCACCCACACCCACCTTCAGTCATAAGTTCTATATGTGTCAACCACCTTGACCCTCAAGAATAATGCGATTTGTATTGAAACGATAAGATTACATATCAACTAAGATCACAAAAATTTTCATTTCTATCTCATTTTTTTATATAACCAAAGCAAAATATCAACTATTCATTTTTCTGTTTTTTTATCTTCAAGATCATAAGCATGGCGGGACAGTTACCAATTAAATTTCAAGAACATTTACAGGTAAAATAGTTTTTATTTATCTTTCGCTTTTTCATTATAATTTTCTAGCTTCAAAATGTCGGTATCAACACTGCAAATATCGGATTTAGTTCACTTACCATGGAATCCGATAACTTTATATGTGTACGCGAAAAAGTTAATGATACAGCTTTTGTTATTATCATCGATATGACTGATGTAAAAAATTCAATTAAACGACCAATTACAGCTGATTCAGCCATTATGAATCCAGCAAGTAAAATTATTGCATTTAAAGGTAAAGAAAATGTTTTCATGAAAATTCAATATTTTAATTGTCAGTTTCTTTTTAGCTGGTAAAACATTACAAATATTTAATATCGAATTACGCAGTCGAATGAAAACATTCAATATGACAGAAGATTGTATTTTTTGGAAATGGGTTAGTGTTAATACAATTGGTATTATTACCGAAACATCAGTATATCACTGGTCTATGGAAGGCGATAGTCAGCCAGTTAAAGTTTTTGATCGTCATCATAGTTTACAAGGTTGTCAAATAATTAATTATCGTACAGATGCATCATTACAATGGCTTCTTATTATTGGTAAAAACGAATTTATTGAATAAAAATTTTTTCCTTCTTTTTTTTGTTAGGTCTTTTAGCACAAGATAGTCGTGTTGTTGGTCGTATGCAACTCTATTCTGTTGAACGAAAAGTTTCACAACCTATTGAAGGACATGCTGCAGCATTTACACAATTTAAACTTGAAGCAAATAAAAAACCGTCGACACTTTTTTCATACGCTGTTCGTGGACTTCAAGGAGCAGGAAAGGTAAAACAATTCAAATGTTGATTTAATTCATTCTTTATTAGCTTCTTATTTAGCTTCATATTATTGAAATTGACACATCAGCACTAGATAATCAACCATTTGAAAAGAAAACTACTGATATTCAATTTCCAGCTGAAGCACCAAATGATTTTCCAGTTGCTATGCAAACATCATCAAAACATGGAGTTATTTATCTAATTACGAAATATGGTTATGTACATTTATTTGATATTGAAACTGGTTTATTAATTTATACGAATCGTATCAGTGCTGATACAATGTTTGTAACAGCACCATATCGACCAACATCTGGTATTATTGCTGTTAATCGTAAAGGACAAGTAAACATAGAATAAATTTCTCTCTTGAAAAACAAAGTTTTATATTTGATTTAAAGGTTTTATCAGTTAGTGTTGATGAAGAAAATATTGTATCGTATATTCGAAATACATTAGGAAATGATGAACTTGCTTATAGAATGGCAGCACGATGTAATTTATCAGGTGCTGATCAATTATTTCTAGCAAGATTTGCAGAATTATTTCAAAGTGAAAATTATAGTGAAGCAGCTAAAATTGCTGCAACAGCTCCACGAGTAATTCAAAATAAGTATTAAATATTCTTTTAATAATCTATTTTTACTTTTAATTAGGGAATACTTCGTACTCAACAAACAATCCAACAATTTCAAACCGTTCCTCTACAACCTAATCAACCATCACCATTACTTCAATATTTTAGTATTTTATTAGAATCAAACAAATTAAACAAAGAAGAATCTATTGAATTATGTAAACCCGTTGTAATGCAAGGAAAAAAACAATTAATTGAAAAATGGTTAAAAGAAGATAAAGTAAATATTTTTGTTGAAATATAAACTAAATCTATAAATTTATTTTATAGCTTGAATGTAGTGAACCATTAGGTGATCTTATTAAATCAATTGATCCAACATTGGCTTTATCAGTTTATTTACGTGGAAATGTACCAATGAAAGTCATTCAATGTTTTGCTGAAACAGGTCAATATCAAAAAATTGTTCTCTATGCTAAAAAAGTTAATTATCAACCGGATTATATTTATTTACTTCGTAATATAATGAGAATTAATCCTGAACAAGGTGTTCAATTCGCTCAAGTAAAATTATTTGATTTTCTTCGAGTAAATATTTTCTATTTCATAGTTACTTGTCCAAAACGAAGAACCATTAGCTGATTTAACACAAATTGTTGATGTTTTTCTTGAAGCAAATCTTATTCAACAAGCTATAGCATTTCTACTTGATGTAATAAAAAATAATCGTGAAGATCAAGGAGATTTACAAACACGTTTATTAGAAATGAATCTAATGCAAGCACCACAAGTAAAATAATCGAATTTTTTGTTATTATTTTAAAGTAAATTTTTATATTAAGGTTGCTGATGCAATTTTGGGTAATAATATGTTTACACATTATGATCGAGCACATATCGCATCTTTATGTGAAAAAGCTGGTTTACTTCAACGTGCACTTGAACATTATACTGATTTATATGATATTAAACGAGTTGTCGTACATACACATCTACTCAATCCTGAAGTAAGATATTTTTGATAAAATTAATAAAAAATTATATTTTGTTTTTTTTATAGTGGCTTGTAAATTATTTTGGGCGATTATCAGTTGATGATTCTTTTGAATGTTTAAAAGCAATGCTTCAAGCAAATATTCAACAAAATTCACAAGTTGTAGTACAAATTGCAACAAAATATCATGAACAACTTGGAACACAAAAACTTAGTGAATTATTTAATTCATCTACAGGGTGTTGGTGGGTATGAGTGTGATAGCATCTCTTCTCCTCATACACGCACCCATCTAGACCCTTAACTATATTTGAAGCATTTCCATTTAAAAACTGACGATAAAATAGTGTGTAATAAAAGAGGTTGTTTCTTTTCGTGATGATTTTATTTTCAACAAGGCGCGGATGAATGAAATACAATACTCACATTGACACCTACACACTTGCGCCAACCAAAGTTGTTGTTTTTTTCCTATGAATCTGAAACAGTGAAAATCAGCAAATAAAAGCTTCTGAAGTGACGCCGCGCGAGAAGTTACATGTTTGTGCCTTTATCTTTCTGAAGAAGCGTTGTGAAGCAAAGAAAATTCATTAGCTGACTAACTCTAGTGATCGGAGATCCAGAACATCAAGCGAAAATATGGTCAAACAACAAGATGATAAAATGAAGATGTCGCTACATAATGACGTAAAATTATGATGCAATGAGATGAAGAAGGTGTGCGTGGCTGAGTGTGAGTGGATGTGAGTCAATAAAATAGAATACTCATACTGACACCCACACACTTGCGCCAACCAAAGTTGTTGATTTTTTCCTACGAGTCTAAAACAGTGAAAATCTGCATATAAAAGCTTTTGAAGAACGCTTAAAAAATACAACGTATAACTTAAGTTATATATTGTACTTCCTCGGAAAAGGTAAGAAAGAATTTCCCTTCTAAACTAGAAAAATACATCGATTTTTTTTCCAACAATCATGATTTTTCAGAAATCCTTGATAAGTTGTACTTTTAGGCCGTAGTGATAGATGCTCAGTCAGATCATTGAAGGGTAATGATAAATTTTCAAAATACATTCATACAATCCTGATACTAATAGTAGATAGTTAGTAAAGGTTTTTGAGATGTGAACTCATATCTTCATTGATATTTACATTCGCAAGTACAATAATATCCAAAGTCGCCTTAAATTCCTCGAACTTAGCGTCTGAGGATCGGTGGGTGTTTACCTTTGACGCATCCGCTTCTGCACCCACATCCTACTTCTTTGTTTGTTTAAACTACCTGTTTTTAGGATTTAAAAAGTCGCAAGCAGTCTTTTACGTTCTTATTAACACAATATTTATAGCCAGCATGATTAAAGTATGGTTCCAACGGGATCAAAACATTCCAATGAAAGCCAATATTGATCCTGATTCAGATATCGACGATTTAAAACAAAATATTTTTGATACAATTAATACAGGACGATATCAGACAACGTATAACGGCCAACCATTGAAACCATCGACGAAAGTTCCACAGAATACAACTGATGATATGCCAATTATATTTACTAAAATTCCGAAATCGAAGCAGCGGACATGAAGACGATTGACATGTGGGTTGATAAAACCGGACCCACCGAAATCACGTATGTTGCTTAGAATATAATAGTCATTTTGGTTAAAAGAAACACTTCATTGATCCTAGCACCTCGAGTTGTAACTTCTTAAATCAATAGCATGCTAAATTGAGAAAATATGAAAAGTTCTTTAATATCGACTTTTAAATGGCTCTAACTATCTGTATCCATCAACACTTTCTTAAAACTATTTTTGTGTAGACGAGAATAATTTCGAGTTTAGTACGGTTCTCTGAGCAGACTTCTTATAAAGTCATCGCCTGTTTCCTGTATGATTTTGTGACTGCCTAATATTTTCATTTAGAACTTCAAGAATTTGTTGCACCTGATGCGTGTGAGCAACCTCAAGAATTTGCTGCACCTAGCACGTGTAAGAAACTTAATTGCAATGGTCGTCCTTGTATCAAGTGCCACAAGTGCCGTGATTGGCATTTTACCGGTGATCAAGACACGTGGAATTGGGTCTGCAATTACAAAAATTGGAAATAGAAGGATACTAATCGTTGGCACGGTAATGGTTATATGCTTTTTACGTACAGTGATGGTGATTGGAAGTTTTTTACGAAATATGATGCTAGTTGTAAGCTTTTTACAAAACGTGATGATGCTACCTGTGATCATAATGATCTTCTTTCTGTCCGTAATGGTCTTCGTACTCTTAGTGTTCATGTATGTCTCTGAGAGAAACACTAAACTTATTTATCAGAATCATGAAATCCGTTTTTCTTGTCATTCCTGTTACTGTACCAATATTTATAATTGAGGGTGTAGGTGTTGGTATGTTCTATTGCAGATATTCACACACCCACACCGCAAGATAAATAATTTCTTCTATAATTTTATTTTGTATATAATTGTTTGAAAGACTTTCTTGAATTAAATTCATAAAATCAAATATATAAATTACATTAATTCAAAACTTGTATTATTCGTTAGTAGATACATATATTCAATATAAGAACTTATTCATTATCAAATAATCAACTAGATTTATTTAACTTGTATATCTTAACTGAAATTATAATGAACAACTAGAGTATGTTTAACTAAGATATTAGAAAAGTAATATTTATAATAGAATCATGTTTAACATACTGTTTAACTATATTTGAAGCATATTCGTTCGAAACTGAAGACAAAATGTTGTGTAATAAAGGAGCTGTTTCTTTTCTTGATGATTTTATTTTCAGTATACTTGTAGAGAAGAATGACAAATAATCATTTTATACGTTTTTAAGATAGCAACAACCTGCATTATTTGATTAGTACTCTTTTGAGATACACTTTCTTTTTACAACTATTCGAAAGAAAAAAGAATGTCTTATCTATATTATATTTTTTATTTTGTTCTTTTTTTCTATGCTTTCACGAATAAAGTAATACATGGCAGATTCTTCAACGATCTAGTAGTTATTTATCTTAATAATATTGTTTTAATACTATCCATGAATAAAACGAATAAAGTGATATAGACATTAATAATTTACATTAAATAAAAGACAAATTATATGACTTTTATTTTTATTTACGATTTACATATAAAATAATATTCTTATGAATATAATACTGTAAAAAACTTATTTTATGAAAAAAAGTTCATGTAAAAATAGAATGATATAATAGTAAACACATTATTTTCAGAGTAAATTGAAATATTTATTTTTCTCAACAAAATACATCATAAAATGATTCTTCATGAAGGTACGAATATATTTTAAGATTCTCTATTAAATTTTTGATGTTACAAGAATCAAGAAAAATTACGATGTATAGGGTGGTGTGGGTGTGGTGGGTGAGAGTATGAATATCAGTTAAAGTTTACACCCACACTCTTCTCATCAAGCCTGACTCTCTAAATGTGTTTTTTTAACTTATCTTCCCGGCATGAGCAAGCAAGTCTTTGCTATTGCTCGATCTTTTCTTATCGTAACATCAACAGTAGAAGCAGCGAGAAACTTGCTCCCACAATGATATATCAATAAACGGGTGAGTGTGGGTGAACGCAATATAAGAGAACAAAGACATACAGCCACACCCACCCGCACACATGCTTAATATTATTTATCGAACTCTGAAATTTGTAAAAAAAAACAACAGCATAGAACGTATAAAAACTGTTTGATCGTTATGTGAATGTGTCAAAGATGATTTCATAGTTTATACAGCTCGAGCTCGACACTACCGACATAGTAGTCTAATAAAACGGAGGCTTCATCTTGTTATGTTAATTTTTAAGGGTTTGTTGAAACAATTTTCATACCTTTCAACTACTCAAATAATACATTTTTCGACCTTCATTAACCATTGCAGTTAAAGTAATAATTCAGCTCTTTTACTCTTTCTGCTTGTTATTATGCTATTTGCTTAACAAAAGACAAATATGTAATTATCGTTCCTATAGTGTATAGTCAATATTATAACTCAATTTTACAATCCCCAAAAGTTCTGTAAAAAAAAGAAAGAAAAAAAACGAAACACATACTGTTTCTTGTCAGGCATACTATTCAACAAAAAAACTTAAAAGTGAGTTCTCATGACTTTTTTCCTCTATTCGAATGATTATCTTTCGAATGTGTAAAATTTTGTTAATGAGACTGCTAAATACAGAGCACATGGATATTATAGTTTTACGATTAATTTTATTGATTATATATTATTCTTGTAGAATAAGGAGGAGAAATAAAACTGATTTTTTTTCTGTTTTCATCGCTGCTACATGGTATGGCAAAGCTCGTTTTGAAAATGTCTTAGAATAACGAAGTTTCAGATAAATTTATAATCAAATATTTTGATGTATGTACATTAAGGGTGTGGGTGTGGGTGTGAGTGCTGTTCTTTTCTTACTCACACTCACACTCACACCCTCAAGATGTATTTGAATTTTCTCAATCGGACTTTTATCTATGCTATTAAAAATTCGAAATATCATCCCTACTTAATGAATGATACGATATTTTCCAAAAAAAATATCAATATTTTTCCTTTTAGGATTCATATTAGTTTTGATTTAAAAAATGGCTCAAAACGTTTCCGATGATGGTAATGATTTGCAACATAAACAAGATTTTTCCGACATGACGGGTACAACCAAACCCCCATCAATTATCGCACCGATGGATAGGTAGAGTAGTTGTTTTTGGTTTCATCACAGAGATAATTTCTGCAAGTAGCTTTAGTCTAGCGTTTAATTTTGAAATCACATTACAACATCTATAATTTCATATAGATTCAATTGTAACTAAAACTACTTCGTTTCTAATATAGTTCCAAGAATCGTATACTGCGAGTTTTTCGCTCAAATCTCGCCATTTATGTCGACAATAATATTTTTATTGAATAAAAACGATACTTTTTGCTATTTTTCTGTAGATAAAATACGAAGAAATAATGTTAAAAATGTCTATTTAAATGTTACTAATACGCTCATATATAAAAATCATTAAAAACAAAATAACTATTATAGTATACCAACGTTTTCTTATTTCAAAAATGATATTTTAAATTTAGTATGAATAACTGGAGAAAGTCCATGAGTTTTTGTTCTTTTTGTATACATTTCTATAAAGGAAGATGATGATATCAATATCGATTATTATAATGCTCATGAAATTTAGAATCATGCATCGTGGAAAGATGGGAGACATGATATTTCGTTGTCGTCAAAGGAATATCGTATACTTAGTACGTAGGGTGGCTGAGGGTGGGTGTGAGTGTACTACTACAGACACCGATACCCACCCACACCCACACCCTACCTGGTTTTAGAAAACTTCTGATAAGAATAAGGTAAATAACTACGATCGTTTCTGTTGATATGTGAAAGATGAAAAAACATTCAGTTCCGCATTATAAAGCTGCGAAAATAGGTTTCAGTTGATCTTTCTGAAAACAATCTACTATGTCAGTTGTTTAAAATAAACTTCTCATCTATCAAGTATTTATTAGAATTATTCGAAGTGTACTGTAAAAGTTCAAATGCAATCATTCAGCAGTTATCTCTGTTCTAATTGACACTCAAAGTGAATTGTCTACATCTTTATCTTGTTTTATAATCGTGACAACCGTAGTTCTATTCCAGTGTCTATTAAAAAAATTTCAAAAAAGGCCTAGTCACTTTTTTTAATAAATATAAATATAACCATTACATTTGGTAATAAATCTCTCTTTATCAAAGTTGTATTGCTATAATACTAGTTCAAGAATGATTAAATACCACAAGTAGATAGAACATTTGTGCATTTCACTATCACATTAGGAAGAGAAAAGTTCTTCAAGATTTCTATCAAACAACGAAAGACTTCTACTATTAGTTTTAGTATGTCCATTAATAATATAACTAATTTTCTTCTTTTACTTTTAGTCTGTCACGATCGAACAACAAACCACAGAAAATTATAGGTACGTATGAAAAAATTGTTCGAGTTATTATTTCCTATCAAGAACTCAATTTAACAAAAATATATTAATTAGTTGTTTAAGAAATTTCTTGTATGATAAGAAAAAGTAGATCTTGATATTTTATATGTATCTTCATTATATTCGAGATGTATGAGAGCGAGCATGTAGATTAGTGCAGCTCAAAAGAAGTCTAAACTCCACGATTATTCTACTCATACTTTAAAATTATTTTGAACACTATAATCATTTCCATTTAGAACAACAAGAATTTGCTACGCCTGGGACTTATAAGCAACTTTCTTGTAGAGGTCGTCCTTGTGTCAGATGTGGCAGATGCCGTGACTGGTATTATACGGATGCGGATAGCTGGGAATGGATCCAAAACTCCAAGAATTGGAGTCAAGATGATAGAGACTGTTATTTCACTAATGGATTTAAATACTATTTCAAGAGTCATTATGATAAGACATGTCGTTCTTCTGATTTTTCTTCTAATAATTTTGGTGGTCATGGTGGTTTTGGTGGTTATTCTTCATGCTTATGTAACGATAATATTCAGACTGATTTATAACTTTATTGCTTTGAATTCTGCGTAGACTTTAATAAATTAGATTCATAATAAGTTGTGCGCTATTTAAGAGGGGGAGATTTGACGTTGGTTACTGAACTGATAGTTGACTTACTGTATGAACTAATAAAACACTGGGTGGATAGACAACGTAATGGAATTTTTTTTTTGTAGGTGAGGATTATTTGGGTAGAGACGCGTAAGAGGCATATGTAGTCGATAAATGTATTTTGTTTCTCACTGTCCTGCTGTCGATTTGTACTATTTTGTGTCAAAGTGAGATGTGTTTAGGTATAAGTGAGAATGAGACCCTAGATAAATTATTGGCATTGAATGTTGAAAATGATGATACTATTCAAGATGTTTATGGAAGTTTTAATTATATGAGAAACTGTTTTGATAGAATTTTATATTTTAGGAATATATTGCACAGGAATCAGGCTGTGCTGTAAATGATCTTTTATTGAGTGTACATAGGACAATATTAAACAATGAACACACAATTGAAGAATGCAACTTTGTTCCAGGTACACTTTTTGATGTTTGTGTTAAAGTATTAGGTGGAAAAACCCATGGACGAATCGGTCAGGCTGGCAAAGTTAAAGCTTGTACACCAAAAGTGAGTGATTGAATTCCATATAGTTACTGTGACAATGTTCAGAATCATAACTGATATATTATTTTTAATAGGTTGCTCCACAAGAAAAACCAAAACAAAAGACTGGGTGTGGGTGTGGGTGTGGTTGTGGGTGTGGGTGTGGGTGGGTGTGGGTGTGGGTGTGGGTGTGGGTGTAAGTGTGGGTGTGGGTGTGGGTGTGGGTGTGGGTGTGGGTGAGGATGTGGGTGTAAGTGTGGGTGTGGGTGTGGGTGTGGGTGTGGGTGTGGGTGAGGATGTGGGTGTAAGTGTGGGTGGGTGTGGGTGAGGATGTGGGTGTAAGTGTGGGTGGGTGTGGGTGTGTTAGTATGGATGGACAAACATCACACCCACACACACCCACGCTTTACGTCGACCTCCAAAGAAAAATGAGAAAGTTTCAAATCTACGATATAATAGTGTGTCAGGTGACACAGGAGGTAGTAAAGTTTATATTGTCTATGAAAATCGTGTGGTTTATCCAACTTATTTAATTACTTTTATTCCATAACTTTTAATATTAGCTTCGATCTGTCATGATTAAATTATGTTTTTCAATAAAATAAACAAGTTTTTCTCTGAATTAATCGAGTTAAATCTCACAAGTATAACTAAATGAGAAGTGCTTTAAATAAATCTCATTCATTAAAACATTCTGCTCACTTCTTCTCATTAATAAAGGTCTGCTTTATTGTTTATAAGAGAATGCATCCTATTCCGCGATGTTGAACATTGGAGGAATCA